GAACAGGAGGAGGTAGAGTGAAGGCTTTCGGGGGAGAACAAAAACAATAAACAGGCGCCAGTGCCATTTGTCTTTGCCGGAGGGTTGGGTGGCACAGGTATCTTAAGGTGCGCCGTTCTGTGCCCAAGTGAATCACCGTGAGGTACTCTTACATATTTACAAATGTTCATGTTAGCGTTTCAGTCATACAATGATCGGTTAGTCATCCCTCCACCAGTGCCCATTCTCCACCACCAATGAATGATCCCAGTATCTACGCCCTGCCGTCCACCCTGCCTCTGTGGCAAGGCATTCCCTTTTGTTCTCTCTCTCCTTTTGGGTATTGTGGTTGGCAATATAGGTATCAAGTGACCATCGTGTCCAGTCTATACTCTATTTTTGGCAGCTCCCAACCTGAGTGAGTCCTCCCAGCACACTTCAGTTGGTCTGAGCTGCCTTTTTCTCCAGTATGTGAGGCCAGCTTCTAAGCTGTGGGGGCAAACCTCCTGGTCCTTACCTCTACTAATCTTTGGTGTTAGCCTCCTGTTCTGTTACTTTATATTCCACAGATGAGTGCAATATTTCTATGTCTGTCCTTCTTTTCCTGACTCATTCCTCAGTGAATTCTTATGGTCAAATGATGCACATGTTAAGGTTGATCTCAGTTGTTCTTATGTGAGTGTGTGGTGGGGGGGGGGGTGGAGAGAGAGAAGATCTGTTATAGAAAAGTTTCTCTACGACAATAGAGAAGGGACCACTATGACAATAATAGTTGCAGTGGTCACTCTGGACAAGAACTGAGTGCTGAAAAGAGGTAAAGGGAAAAACCTTATAGCTTCTCAGTACCTGTATTGTACAATGCCCAAATGCCCAAAGAGGGGATGAGGGGAGAAGAAAAGTGCCTGACATAGAGGCAGGTGGGGAGGTGGGGGGACATGGGTTAGATAACTGGGGACATTAGTGCTGGGAAGTGTACACTGGTGAAGAGTCAGGTGTTTGAACATTGTGTGACTGAAACCCAATCATGAACAACTTTGTGACTATGTATCTCACAATGATTCAATTAAAAATAAGTTAATTAATAAAAAGAGATTAAAAAAAGCAGGGAAATGTACAAATAAAACTATGGACCAATATCTTTGATGAACATAGATGTAAAAAATGTCTGTAGCAAATAAATTTTCTGGCAACTAAATTCCAGCAAAAGATTAAAATAATTGCATATCATCACTTTATCACACTTAACTTCCCGTTAGTCCTTGATTTGCTCGAGCAGGCGCCAGTAATGTCTCCATTTGTCCCTGTCGCGTTGTTTATTTGATATGCCAAAACCAGTAACTGCAACTGGTCTCATTCACCTGACCCTGAAGGCTTCACCGATATGGCAGCACTGAGAAGGATGAGAAAGGAGAGGCCAGTTGCATATCATGACCAAGTTTAAATCATTCTTTTAAAATCAGGCAAAATGCTGCTACCGGACTAAACTTATTTTTTTCATACATGTCATGAGATTTATAATATACAAAAATATTTATGATAGGGGTCAGGGTGATAGCACAGCAGGTTGGGCATTTGCCTTGCTCCAGCCTGACCAGGGTTTGATCCTCAAATCACAAATGGTCCCCCTGAGCACCACCAGGAGTAATTACTGAGTACAGAACCAGGAGTAACCCCCGAGCATTTCTGGGTGTGACCAAAAAGCCAAAAATATATATACAATTAATAAAATAAAATACAAAGAAAGATTTCCCTTTCAGGATTCCTCTTACCTTGCTCTGTGAGAGGCTCCAGTTACTAAAGACAAGAAAAGGAAGAAATGGGCTGAAATATGAATGAATAAAAATTCGTATAAAATAAAAAATTTCTAAAGTATGTGATAATTACAGGAATGATTAGCCACGTCCACCTGCCCACATACCAAATTTCAAAGGATGGGTATGTCGTTCCTAACGTTATCCCTTCCAAAATCCAACACGCCATTTTGTCAGTACGGAAGTGAAGAGTACCTGGCCCAGACAAGGTCAGACATGAACACCTGAAGAATCTGCCTCCAGTACTTGTCAATACACTAGCTTGGCTCTTCACATGCTACCTGTCTGAGTGCAAGGTTCTGTCTCAATAGAAAACCAGCAGGACCATTCTGTTGTATAAGAAGGGAGACATCCACGACATCGGCAACTATTGCCCGATCTGCCTGTTGTCCATCGTCTACAAGTTGTTCATTCAAGTCATCCTGAATAGAATAGGCAGAACACATTAGAAGGACAACCATGCGAGCAAGCCAGGTTCCGAAAAGGATTCAGCATAATCAACCATATACACACGGTGACCAAGCTCATTGATGTTTCACGAGAGTTCAAGATGCCACTCTGTCTAATATTCATTGATTTAAAGAATCAGTCTGTTGAGACTGAAGCAGCCATAGAAGCCCTAGCCAAACAGGGTTTTCAAACTCAGTACATCAGGATCCTCTGCAAGCTGTATTAACAGATTCACTACCAGGATCTCAACATTCTACAAGGAAGTGATCATATATTTAAAGAGAGGGGTTCGGCAGGGTGATGCTATTTCACCGAAACTCTTCAGTTGCCACCATCAAGAACAACATGCGACAACTGGAATGGGAAGAAATGGGAGAGAAGATAGACTGTCAGTAACTACCCCACCTCCACTTCACTGATGACATTGTTCTAATAACACCAAACATTAGCCAGGAGGCACAAATGCTGGCCGACTTCAACCCTGAGTGTGGAAAGGTCGAACTGCAGCTGAATCTCACCAAGACAATGTTCATGAAAAACGTGTAGCCAAATCCACCCCACTTAAAAAAATATCTGGGTGGGCAGTTGCTTTCTTAGAACTCTTTAAAGATGCTTTTACCCTGGTTTCTCAGCTTCTTTCATTTGTCAATCTTACTGTTATTCCTTTGAAAGTAAGTCTTATTAAGCCTTTGTTATTTTTGATGTTCTTAATGATTGTTGTCTTTAGCAATTTGACTACTATTAATGTGTGATTTTTTGGGACGTATCTTGTTTTAGTTTTCTGTAACTTCTTGAGTGAATACACAGCTATTCCATCAATCTTGAAAACTTCATAATATCTCTTCAAATTCTACTTTTGTTCCCTTTGCTTTTTCCTCTTTTTACAACTAATGTGTTATAATTTTATGTATGAATACTTTGTATATATGTTATGCCACATTTGTAATTTATATGTATTAAGACTTTCCCATATGGCTTCAATATATTTTCTTCAATATTCATTTTTTCGGTGCTCCCAAATACTATTGTCTGTTGACCTATCTTTTTAGTTTACTAGTCCTGTTTTCTAGTGTGTCTAATATGCTTGACACAGTTGCTTTCTTCTTTCAGTCATTGTATTAGTCTATAATTCTATGTGATTATTATTTCAGGTTTCCAGTTCTTTGTTAAAATTATCTGCCACTTCCACTTTTCTTGATAATAGTTCATAGCTAATGGTCCCAATACTTTAAACATCTGTAGTTCTGTTACGTTTTGTATGTTTTCGACCATTTGGTTCAGTTTTCTGGGCTATTAGTTTTGAATTAAGACTATAACCTGGCTGGAGTGATAGCACAGTGGTAGGGTGTTTGCCTTGCACGCAGCCAACATGGCCCACTCGAGTTCGATTCCTCCGCCCCTCGCGGAGAGCCCGGCAAGCTACCGAGGGTATCTCGCCCGCACGGCAGAGCCTGGCAAGCTCCCCGTGACGTATTCGATATGCCAAACACAGTAACAAGAAGTCTCATGATGGAGATGTTACTGGGCCTGCTCGAGCAAATCGATGAACAACGGTAGGACCATGACCGTGACCGTGAAGACTATAACCTAGAATAATGGAACTGTGATCTTCCAAGTCTGATACAGAGAGTGAACACTTTTATCTCTACTCCCCAATTTATCACCTTAGTCAGTAAAAAAAAGAGTGGAGAACATATTGATTAAAAGCAAGTTTATATAAGCAAGTAATAGTATTTATGATCACTTTTTTGTCTGTGATTAAAGACAACCCTAATTCTAGTCCTGAAACACTTTTAAATTTCTGTAATTAGGCAATAAAATATTCACTTATTACAACCAGAGATATGTCTGCAATAATTTATTGTACATTTATATGTCAATAGGTAAAGTCCAATTCAGAGTTAATTAAAATCAGATCTATAAAATAATTTTCTGATAGAAAATAAGAAGTTATGGTAATTTGATATCTAACAATAGCAAAATAAGTCTAAGGAATTGAATCTTTATAAAGGAAAACATGTTGTGTGTGGGGGGAAAACCCACAGCCTCGCCTCCAACTGAAAATTACTCTGGTACATTGTTGGTTTCATTAATGTCTCACTGGGACACACACATCAAGAAAAAGTTAAGAAAGGCAAAAGGAAAGTGGAAAGAACAGCTACTTTAAATGCAGTGATCAGGAAACACTTCATTGCTGAGGTGACATTTGAGTAAAGTCAAATTGTGATGAAATAAGGAAGATTCTTCTGCAAAGGTGTCCCTTCAATGGATAGCCACTTACATTGAGAACAATAAAGAGGACCAACTGCAATTATTTAAAATTATTTTCCCAAAGCAAATAAATAAAATTATTTTCTGCCTTAAATACAAATACATTTGGAAAAAAAACTTTTAAGCTTTATTTTGAAAAGGAAAATAAGTAAGTCAGGATTTACTTGGTAGAGTTATCCACTGACATTCCTTGAAGATGCTAATGTCTAAAGCACTTTTTAAGAAACACGTAAGAAAGTCATCCAATAGATCAAATATCTGGACTTTTAATCAGATAGGCATATTGAACTAAAAATGATTGCTATTTTCTAAAAGAATGTAAAAAAGAGGAGTAACATTGCAGATGAAGATTTTTATAGTTAACAACAGAAAAAGACACAAAAAAATAGGACAAGACAAAAAGTTACAAATAACCTATTCCTGGATAATATACTCAAATATATTTTAAGTAATGTGTAAATAAATAACACATCATTGTATGTCTTTTGTAAAGAATGGATTATGAACACAAACAAGAGTCTTTGATCCTAGCTTAGAGAATTTCAGACTGTTCCAATAAAAATGGGTGAGTTTGACTTGTATTTTCTTTCCAGTGCAGAGTGTTAAAACTTAAATTATTTTTTGGTCTGCATTTATTTCAAATAGTCTAACACCTCAGACTTCTGACAAACAGGTAATGTAGTTTAATACTTGTTCATTTAAAGTTATTAAGGGTATGCTGAGGCAGACAGTTGGTACTCCAACAAGGGCTGTAGTTCCAGTCAGGTTATTGTCAAGATGCCATTTGGAATCTCCTTCTTGATGTCAAAGTTGTCCTCTGAAAAGATTTAGGTAGATTCTGTGAACCTGAAGTACCAATCAAAAGAAGTGATTATCAATAAAATGTTTAACAAACAAACAAACAAAACCCTCAGATCCCCACAGAATGTTTTGTATGCTTGTGTAGGTGATATTTAAAAAAAAAAAGATTTAAATGTCACTTTTGCATAAACCAAGAACCAGTTCTCTACAAAACTGCAATTTGAGGTCTGAGAAGAAAGAAAGGTGTTCCCTGCCCACCCCAGAGCCTGTGGCCTTGCAAGAATCTGCTCCCCAGAGGTTATTTACTAGAGCCTCAAAGTGTTCAGCTGACAAGAGAGATCTTTCAGTTCTACTTCTCACAGGCAGAATTAACTCTGGCTGCCTCAAGAGATATTTCCCACCCTTCAAATATGTCTTCAGGGGATTTCTTCACTTGGAATGAAAGATAAGATAGATAAGATATAGCTGCTTGTCAGAGAAAAAGAAAATAAATTATTAAAAAAAATACAGGAATGAAAAAGGCAATTAAGTTTCAAGGAACCACTGAGAGGCGTACCTTTGGACTAGTGCAGTGACTGAGATAGACTTTTATTCAGGGTTGAATTAAAAACATTAAAAGAGAAAAAAAAAAGTAGCCAAGAATAGCAAGGAAACACTTTTAAGTCAGACACTGTAACTATAAATCAAGATTTCCATTCTAAACTTAGTCCTATACTAAGTGGCTCCCCAGCTGGGTAGCTTTTTTTTTCCTTTCTACTTTAATTTCAATTTTTTTAAAAAAATGGATATCTATTATTTACTTATGAGCATGAATATCAACTATAATGCAGACTGGAATCATAAGGAGGGGATTGTTTGGATAGTACGCATGTCTGTGTGGTAAAGGGGTGATAAAATTCAAATGTAATACAAATAAGACTTTTATTCTTTTCTAATTTGATTCCATCTTCTACAGCACTTATAAATTAGCCTACGAGAAATATAAATGAAAGGATGATCCAAGCTTGAAAGAAATCATTACTCTTTAATAATTATTTGTGTAAATAAGGTGCCCAATCTGTCAATATGTCCCCTGAAAGAAGATCTCTTTACGAGACTGACACAATTTTTAAACAAATTTATCTGCAATTTGCCGAAGAAATGCCAAGCTTTTGAAGGTCTTTGTATACACTTGTGTTATTCCTGCCACAGCTGATACCCCCTTCCTTTTACTGAGTGGAGCCCAAGCTTTCCTAAAATCAAGTTAGCAGGCGATATGTTATTATTTTTCCATGATGTTTTCCTTACTCCCCTTTCCCATAAAGACTTCTATCATACTTGAACTGTGATCATAGTTGTACTCTACTTAATTTGGGAGCATTCAATGCTGTCAGTTATTAATTACATTTATCTATTTACTTGGAATTATTCATTTAACTGCCAGCTTAAAAAATATCTGCGTTTGAGACACCTTTGTTTCCAGTCTGACATTGAAATCAGTCCAATTAACATATATATCAATAAATAGATGATACTATGAAGAAAAAATTACAGGACCAGCTCTCTTCTGTACCCTCAGTTGCTTGTGTAGAAATGAGAGACCTTGGATTGAGCAGTACTCATAGTTCTAAAAATTATCTATTTACTACACAGCATTTGATATATATATATACATATATATACAAACATACACACATGTCACGTAAATGTGTGTGTTTATGTGTGTGCGTGTTTGTGTGTGTGTGTGTGTGTATGTGTGTGTGTGCGTGCTTATTCAGATTTAAAACAAGTATGGAGTCTGGTCCCCTCTACTAAGCTTTATTTGTTGCTGAACAACCTATCGGTCATCCTCACTTGGCTTAGTGCCTAACCTTCTCCAAAATCGAGTTAAAACTCACTATTTCAGCACCAGTATCAACTGTTTACCCACAGAAGCATATAGATCAATTTTTTTTCAGTTTTTAAAAAGTACTTTATTTTTAAGGAAAAAGTGTGTGGAGTAATATAATTGACATCATCATTTTCCTGGATGATACATACACTCTAAATTTGTAATCTCATGACTCAGAGTTAATGTATCTTCCAAAGTCTTTTTTTTTTAATTTTTATTAGTGAAACCCAAGCACAGAAATTTGTAAATCTACAAGTGGATCAATATTTAGTCCTTTCTCCCTTACCTGATTTCTGCGGTTCAGGCCTCCTGTAGGAAACTTTGCTGGATCTTTACCTACTTGCATATGCAGTAGGTGTTCCTGCTTGTCACTTAGAGCCCTTCTCATTTTCAGACTAAATGGAATTATCCTTGAGTCACAGATTAATTATTCTTGGTGACTGACTCCAGCTTTTCACATAGAATTTTGCACATAGAAAATTGAACCCTTGCCTAGTTAAATGCTATACAAACTCGTGTGCCCACTCGGCCTTGACCAATTTACAGTTAGGCTAAGACCTGTGTTTATTCTGCCTTTATGAGACAGAACTTTTCTTAGTAACACAAATAAGGAATATCTGAGGGGGCAGAAAGGAGGCAATAGCAGCTTAGGGCAATTAGCATGGGAGAAAAATTCTACTTTTAAAAAAAAATGTATTCAATCACCGTGAGTTACAAATGTACAGTGAGTTTTTTCATGAGCGATTTTACTTATTCATGAGTTTATTCATGAGTGAGTTTCAGATGTACAGTGCTCAAGCACCAATCCTTCACTGAGTCCATTCCCTCCACCAATGTCATTAGCTTCCCTCCTGCCCCCCCCCCACCCCGCCTGCATGGCAGGCACCTTCTTTTCCCCTTTTTGTCATTGTGGTTTGATATTGTTACTGAGATGATATCCTGCATATCACTCTACCTCCTTTCAGCACCCAGTTCTTAAAGGATGAAAGAATTTTTTGATATCACTATAGGACAGAATCAAGGAAGGACTGACTTAAGCAATGGTAAACCTGCATTATTCTAACGCTTAACTTTTATTGTAAGTATTTAAAGATTAGATTATTTCCCTGTCGACAGCAAATTATTCTTTACATTTGATATTATCTGTGGTATAAACAGTATGTTTTAAGCAGTGTGTGCCTGATACCTAGTTAGATTCTTTTCTGACTTTGTTTTGGGGTTACTCCAGCAACACTTGGGATTTACTCCTGGCTCTGCACTCAGGGACCAGTCCTGGCAGGCTTCAGGGCACCATATGGGATGCTGAGGCTCCAACTACAGCCACATTCAAAGCAAGCACCCTACCCACTGTACATTTGCATCCTCTAATTAGACCCTTCTCATACATATTGCAGTAATTACTTTATCCACCCTAAGTTTCCCTAAAAGGAGAGTTGAAGGTCCAGAGAGAGTGAAGCATTGCCAAGACTCCTCAGCTAAACAGTGCTAGAGTTGAACACTGACCTGTCAAAAATCCTGACAGAAAACTGACAGAGCTAAAGAAATCACTGGTTTATAAAAAATAAAAAAAGAAAGAAAAAGAAAACTGACAGTACTGTGTTACTAAAATGTTGGCAAAATATTTCAGAACAAAAACCTTGATAGCAGTTAGTAAAAGGAAAACATCTTTCACAATCCCTTTAAACTCCTCAATTCCAAACTAGAAAACGTATTCTTCAAATAACAGGCTAGGTTAAGAATAAGGACTTATCTGCAAAACATTTATATAAAAGGGCTGGAGCGATAGCACAGCGGGTAGGGCGGTCGCCTTACACGCGGCCAACATGGCCGACCCGAGTTCGATTCCTCCGCCCCTCTCGGAGAGCCCGGCAAGCTACCGAGAGTATTCGATATGCCAGACACAGTAACAACAAAGTCTCCAATGGAGACGTTACTGGGCCCGCCCGAGCAAATCGACGATCAACGGGAGGGCCTTTACCTTTACCTTTACCTTTATATAAAATAGTTAGAATATTTATCTATGTTTTAGAAGCATTTGTACATTTAGATCTTGAGAGAGGATCTAGGATTCAGACTTTATTTGGAAGGAATAATGAAAACTCTATGGCAGAAAGAGAATGATTTATTCTTTTAAAAAATTAGTGAAGTTAGGAGAGGTACAGAAAAAGAATGATCTCTGTCATAGTGAGCTATGAAGAAATTCTTACAGGATATGATGAAATTCCTGTAGGATTCATGAGAAGGAACTTTTCTCTTTTCAACAACAAAGGACTCTAAGTGATAGTATTTGCACATTTTCTCTTTTGCACCCACAGCGACTGTGTACTTACCTTTTATAATCTTACTTTTTATAGAGATTTCTGGAGTTTGTATGTGGAGTTCGTATGTGGAACACAAATATTTTGTATTTTCCTTTGTGTGGTTTGATGTAAAACGTTATACTGAATTAATTTATTTTCATTTCTCTTTGCCAAACTTGAAATATCATCTATTACATAGCTTATTTATATCTGGACACTGACCTGTCAAAAATCCTTGACCGGCGGCCCAGGTGTGACCAGCAAACTCTGTCAGTGTCAAGGAACCTTTTCGAGAGGTATCCGACTATAAAAGGAAAGTCAAATGCAAGTTGAAGTTCACTGTTTCAAATAATTTTAAAAAAAGAAAATCCAAGTAATGGGTAACAGAGGAACTTACCCGAAATGTCTGAGTTGTGCTGGGCCTGGAGAGCTGATCCGTGATAAAGGTTCTTTCTCGAAGAGGCGATCGCTCTACACTGTCAGGGAGTGCACTTAACACGCGCGTCTGCAGAAGTCTTCCTCTGTGCTAAAGGAAGGGCGAGACACTTCTTACAGTCAAGGCACTCCACAAAGAAACGAAAGAGAATCTGCAGCTGCCTCACGGGACTTGGTTCATTCTCACTTAACTGGAAATGATTACTATTTCAAAGTAGAGGTATATTAGGCTAAAGATAAAAAGACATTTAATGTTTGGGGAAAGGTTTGGAGGCACTTGGCACCATGGTGCCATGTGAGGCTCTAGAAATGCAATGCTCCCGACCGAGGTCACCAGCTGCCCCCCACGAGCGGCTCTCCGGCACGGCCACGGCCCCGGAAGCACAAGAACTTAGCACAGAAGGCCACCCGCTTGGAGCAGAAAAGCAAATGGACTATGTGTTAAACCGTGCCAGCATGCCTGCCCGGAGGGGAAAGGGTGTTGTCTCATTCGCCCTCTCCTCTCTGGAAAGAAGGATGGCGGCCACATGGGAGCCTTGTGGACAGCAGGTATGAGCCGGGGGTGTGGGGGCGACTAAAACCTCATGGGAAGGGGGGCGTTCCGGTCCGTCCTTCACGCCCTACCGAGGTCACCAGGTGCCCCCCACGAGCGGCTCTCCAGCACAGCCACAGCCCCAGAAGCACAAGGACTTAATGCAGAACCCAGCAGCTTGGAGGAGAAAAGTGAACGGACTATGCGTTAATCCAGGCCATCATGTCTGCCCGGAGGGGAAAGGGTGTTGCCCCATTCGCCCTCTCTTCTCTGGAAAGAAGGATGGCGGCCGCATGGGAGCCTTGTGGACAGCAGGTTTGAGCCGGGGGTGAGGGCGGCAGGGACCTCATGGGAAGGGGGGCATTCTGGGCCGTCCTTCACGCCCAACCGAAGTCACCAGTTGCCCCCCACGAGCGGCTCTCCGGCAGGGCCACGACTCCAGAGCACAGAAACCAATCTCTTAACTATCTAACTTTTAATAGAAATACTTCCAGGGTTAATAAGTAAAATAGCAGAAATCCAAAACCACGCGGCCGACATCACTTTATTCTTAAACCCAGCTGTAGAAAGCAAATCATTTCACAACTCTGTTTCAGCATGTCTGATTGGGGGGGGTCGTAAACTCTAAACAATAATTGTGCAACTTCTATCGAAACAATGTATCTAGTCAAAGTAGATAGAGTATTAACTAGAACTCATCTGCCTCACAGGAATTGGGAGGGGTGGGAGGTGGGGTTCTATTGGGGTTTGTGGTTAAAAATAAGTATTGGTAAAGGGAAATGTGTTTGATATTTACATGACTGAGACCTAAACGCAAAAGCTCTGTAACTTTTCCCACAGTGATTCAATAAAGAAATAAATTATTAAAAAAAAAAAAAAGAAATGCAATGCTCCTGGGACTCAGTTTGCTAGAGCTCATGAGGACCACACCTGGCAATGCTAGGGTTCAATGGCAGGGCCTCTTCAAGCATAATCCCCAGCCCTTTGAGCTGTTCCCCCTGAACAAAATTTAAAATTTTAGGAGCTAGAGCGATAGCACAGCAGGTAGGGGGTTTGCCTTGCATGCGGCCAACCGGGTTCAATTCCCAGCACCCCATATGGTCCCCCAAGCACTACTAGGAGTAATTCCTGTAGAAATTCCTCCAGGAATTTCATCATATCCTGAGTATCGCTGGGTGTGACCCCAAAACAAAAACAAACAAACAAAAAAATTTAAACTTTATAAAAATGTAACTATTTGGAGGGTGGGGTGGGCAGAGAGGTAGTACAGTGGGTAAGCGCTTGCCTTATACACACTGACCCAGGTTTAATCCCCACCACCCTGTATGATCCTCCAGCACGAGCGGGAGTGATCTATGATCACAGAGCCAGGAGTCAGCCCCAAGGTCTGCCAGATGTGGCCCCAAAACAAACAGTATTGAAAAGTCACTGTCCTCCCGTCGTTCATCAATTTGCTTGAGCGGGCCCAGTATCCTCTCCATTGTGACAATTGTTACTGTGTCTGGCATATTGAATACGTCACGGGGAGCTTGCCAGGCTTTGCTGTGTGGGAGAGGTACTCTCGGTAGTTTGCTGGGCTCTCCGAGAGGGGCAGAGGAATCGAACTCGGGTCGGCCATGTTGGCTGCTTGCAAGGCAAATGCCCTACCCACTGTGCTATCGCTCCAGCCCACTGAAAAGTAAAAATAATAATAAAAAGAAAGTATTTTAAAGATCAGCTAAATGGTAGTATCATGTTAAGAAATGGTAACAACTCTCGGGGCTGGAGCAATAGCACAGCGGGTAGGGCGTTTGCCTTGCAAGTGGCTAACACGGGTTTGATTCCCAGCATCCCATATGGTCCCTTGAGCACTGCCAGGAGTAATTCCTGAGTGCAGAGCCAGGAGTATCCCCTGTGCATTGCCGCCAGGTGTAACCCAAAAAGCAAAAAAAAACCAAAAAAAAAACAAAGAAATGGTAACAACTCTAACTGCATCAAGTGTCAGGAGATGCACTTCTGCACTGTTGCTGCATCAAGCTTTTAAATGGGATGCACAGTTTTACGTTTATGATTTTAAGCCTTCATACTGTACAGTAAATCAGGAAAGCTTTGAAACCCTGGCCTCCTGGGAACAGATTAGGCTGGTATGCTCAAGGAAGCAGAGATTAGAACCCTTTCCATTGCTTTATCTCTATTCAGGTCTTTGTATTCCCACAACAGATGGTCTCATGTGCTGTATGTAATAGACACATGCTACATAGAGCAAGTGAAGTGATGCAACATTGTGAATTTCAGAAAATTTGTTTGTGCACATTATCAGGAGTTTGTGTTTCCCAGACCTTTAATTATTGTACTACTGACTTGAATCTGGGTAAAAAGACATAGCCTCAACATTGCAAAAAACCGAGTTGAGGTTAGCTTATGTATATCTAATAGCTGACCAAAATATTTCATTAAGTTCATAATTTTGCCAGACACTGCTTAGTATTCACAAATTAGTTTAATATTTACATAAAAGAATTACTATTTTTAATTTTAAGTATCATGACTTACAATACTGTTCATGATAGAGATTCACATATCCAGTGTTCAAACACCATCCTCCCTCCATTGGAGTGATTGCTTACCTCAGCCCTTATCCTCCAGTGCTCAGTAACAACTCCCCAACCCCTTACCTTCACTGTGGTAAGCTCAGTTCCTTATACCAGTTTTTGGGTTCTGCTGCTTTTGCCATGTCTAACAATTCTTTTAGGTAGGAATTTTTATTCCCGTTGTATGAGAATATGGTAAGGCTCAGAGAGTTTAAAATACACCAGATAACACAGAATTTGTGTGGTAGGAATCACAATGAACTGCCTGTTTAATGACTAATACTTGTGCTATTTCATTACATCTTTACTATTCTGAATATCAGATAGCCCCTTGACATCTGAAATTTTGGATTTAGCCCCATTCACATTATCACTTGGCAAAATAGTTAATTAACTCTACTATCCCTTAAATTCTGAGAAGTTATTTACTTGCAGGGAGACATATTACGAATATAAATATTACTGATTACACTTAAGATGTACCTAGAGTGTATTTGGTTTTTCTTATTTTCCAACAGACTCGTTAAATAATTAGACGTAAATATAATGAAATGTCTTACAGAAACAGGGCGAGATCCAGGAATCGCTGTATTTTGCTCACCAGTCTCTGCGCCTATTGGGGGTAACCTGTTCCGTGAGGTTGGAACTGGTGGGGAAGACGTGAAGTCTGTGCCAGTCTGCCTAGAAAAACAACAACATGTAAGTGAGAACCTCGATGCTAAGAGAGAGACTGACCTCTTCATAAATCTTCTGGTATGAATTGTTAGTCTCAAACTTCTTCCAAAATAAATGTTCAAGAAAAATAAGAGTCAGGTTGGTTTTGTTTTTGTCTTTTGGTTTGAGACTCCACCTGGCAGTGCCCAGGACTTACTTCTGGCTCTGCACTCCAGGATCACTTTTGGTATGGTCGGGGATCAAACTCGGGTCAGCCATATGCACAGAAATCACCTGACCTGCTGTACTAATGCTCCGGCCCTGGGTTGTGAGTTAAAGAAGAGTGTGGGGTAAGGACTAACCATAAGCTCCAAACACATTCACCTTGTTGAGCAATGGCTACTTACTGCATCTGCTGATGCTAAGTTATTGTAGCAACTGTACACAACACAAAGCTAATCCAAGTCCTATGTCCTCCCATAACCAGCTTATAAAATTATAATATATGGTTCTGAACATAAGGGAGTTATAAACTAAGAATAAATTGATTATAAATGTGCAGGACCTAGATAAGGAAAACTAGAAAATGTAATATAATGTCATTAAGACATCATAAGAGAAAAGATAAAATATTTTAATAAGAAACGGAATCAAAAAAATGTCTATTTTCCTACATTTGAAATAAAGTATTCGGTGCTCTAAAGTCTAATATGATACATACGTACATATTATAAGTATATATGCATATGAGTTTTTAGTCTGAAAACCTTTACTGCCAACATGGATCCGATACCTGGAACCACTGATGGTCCCCTGAGCATTGCAAAGAGTGATCCCCGAGAGGTGCAGAGCCAGGAGTAGGCCCTAAGCACTGCCAGATGTGACCCATCCCCTTTCACCCCGCCCCCCCAAAGAGAGAACCAGTGGAAAATAAGCACAGAAAAATGAAATAAGGTTTTCAGAACCATAAAAGTAAAAATAGTTTAAGGAACAGGGAATTTTTCTCTTCAAGAGCCTGTGTACAGATCTATTTGTCTGGAAAACAACAAAGCAACATTGATTTTAAAACAACCCAGTCCAAGGGTTGGAGAGAAAGTGCAGTGATTACAACAACATTTGCCTTGACACACCTGACACAATTTTCATCCCTGCTGCCACTTATTTTGGCTTGAGCACTTCCAAGAATAATACCTGAACAGGGTAAAGAGTAATCCCTGAAATCAGCCAAGTGCAGTCCAATCCTCTGTACTCTCTGTTTCTCTGTTTCTCTCTCTGTCTCTCTCTGTCTCTCTCTCTCACTCTCTCTCTCTCTCTCTCTCTCTCTCTCTCACACACACACACACATACACACACACACACCAAAAAGAAAAGAAAGAAGAAAATTTCACACCCAAGTGTGAATTCCTGTTCAGTATGCTTACAGAATCTGCTCAAGAAGAAAGAATCTTTACAGTTACCTCCCAAGTCAGAAGCAATGGTGGGCACCATTTTGAGACCCAATCATGATCACGATCATCCTGTTGTTCGTCGATTGCCTCGAGCAGGCCCCAGTAACGTCTTTTTCGTACTAGCCCTGAGATTTTAAAGAGTGCCATATTCAAGGCTTTTTCAGGGCTAGGATAATGAGACCCATCATTGTTACTGGTATTTGGCATACAGGGTACGCCACGGGGAGTTTGCCAGACTCTGCCCTGTGGGCAGGTTACATTTGGTAGCCTGCCAAGTTGTCCAAAGTAAGAATGAGATAATAAGATGTCGCACAATGTGGCCACACACTTCCGGGAGCTGAGTTTTATAGTCTCTGGGTCTTGGCCGTTGATGGGATTATATGGCACCAGGGGGCCAGATGGTGGGTCTAACCCCTGCCTATTGGAAGATGGAGGATCTGGGTGGAGGATGCTCAGCCCCAATCCGAGCAGGCTTGGAGATCTCAGCCCCAGGACTCGCATGCCTTTGCTCCTTTGCCAGTACCATCATGCGTGTGGAGAGTGGTCTCAGCATGGTGGTGGCTGGTTCTGGAGGTCTTTGGCTGCTGGAACTCTGCTCAGGGCGGGGAGGGAAACTCAACCCGCCCCCCTGCAAGGGGCCCCGGCAAGGACAGCCAATGTAGCTTTATAAATAGTAGTATTGGACTCTGGGTAAAAAATGCCACGTGATTTTGCAAAATAGGCTAACCAATTTACCTTCAGCACTTTGGCAAGTCAACTCCAGCTGTCTTAATCAGATCAACCCCAAGTGTCTTTGACAAACACTGACCTCTGATGAGTTCAGCTCCCAGTGTCACTGGCAAACAAGCTGTGCGAGGTCATCCACAGCAGGTAAGTCAGCCTATGAGCCTTTGTTTTAGGCAGTAAAGTAACCGCTACCCTCAGGAAAGCAAGAATGTCAATAAGCATGATTCAGCATCCCACTACCTTCTACATACAAACACCATAACATAACCAGACCAGATGGTTCACACATTTATTTTCTGGAAGCCATATATCCACACTAAACCCACAACACCACCTTCAATACACTAGTGTATTGAAGTCATAGATTTTAGCATAGCTCATTCAATGTATCATATCAAAGCTAGGCCAATAGTTCTGTCATTGTGGTGGTCTAATGTGAAGACAAGTAGATTCAGTACGGGGCAAAAAGGGGACAAAACGTGAATTACTATCTCACACAGTCATGTAATATATATATATATATATATATATATATATATATATATATATCACTTAATCACTTAACTTCCCGTTAGTCGTCGATTTGCTCGAGCGGACGCCAGTAACGTCTCCATTTGTCCCTGTCGCGTGCTAGTGTAGCCCAATGGCATCTCTTCGCTCCGGGAACATGGAGGGCCTCAAACCGATCATTCATGATCTTGACAAAGAAGTCTGACCATCTGGTAGGTGGGCGGCCACGCGGTCTCTTGACATCCCGTGGAATCCAATCAGTAACAGCTCTAGTCCAACGGTCGTCTTTAAATCTCATTACGTGACCAGCCCATCTGATTTTCGACACCTTGGCAAATGAGACAGCGTCCCTGATCCTTGATCGTCGACGGATGTCAGAACTCCGGATTCGTTCTCTCATTTGAGTGAAACGTGATATTCCAAGCATAGCTCTTTCTATTCTTCTTTGGGAGACCTGAATAGCGTTCTCATCTTGTTTGCGTAGGGCCCAGGTCTCTGAGGCATACGTTAATGCAGGAAGAACAGTGGAATCAAAGAGATGTGCCCGGAGCCGGAGGTTCTTCGTCCTCTTAGCCTATATATATAGGCTCATATATATATATATATATGTATATATATATATGAGCCCAGCGAGCTACCGAGAAGTATCCTGCCTGCACGGCAGAGCCTAACAAGCTCCCTGTGACGTATTCGATATTTCAAAACCAGTAATTATAACAGGTATTGGTTATAGTTATTCCCCTGACCCTGAAAGAGCCTCTGATCTTTGGGAAAGATGAGTAAGGAGAGGCTGCTAAAATCTCAGGTCAGGGACAAATAGAGACATCACTGGCACCTGCTCAAGGATGACAGTGATAAAAATAGATAGATAGATAGATAGATAGATAGATAGATAGATAGATATGGATGCAGAATCTTCTGCCCTTGCACCAAGCTGTCTTCACCAGGGCCCCTCAGAGGCGGGTAGGTTGAGTTTCCCTCCCAGCCCCAAGCAGAGACCCGGCAGCCAAAAACCACCAGAACCCAGCCACAGCCATGCTCAAGGCCACTCTCCACACACTCAGATGAGCCTCACACATGAAGGAACCAGCAGAGGAATCCAGGTATATGGGCCTCAGGGCTGAGATCTCCAAGTCTGCTTGGATCGGGACTGGGTCTTCTCTACCCAGATCCCCCATTTTCCAGTAGCTTGGCAGTCACAACCACAAACTGCCCCCGGCGCTATGTAATCCCATCAATGGCCAAGATCCAGAGACTATAAAACAAAGCTCCCAGAAGCTTATAGTCCAGCACACTGATGTATCTAAAGCAGCACACATGTATTTGGTTTTAACATACTTGCTTGTATTCTCTTACATACATTCTCCATCCCTCTCGGATAGCCCAGCAAGCTACCGAGAGTATCCCGTCCACAGAGCAGAGCCTGGCAAGCTACCCGTGGCATATTCAATATGCCAAAAACAGTAACAATAATGGGTCTCATTTTGCTGATCCTAAAAGAGCCCCCAATCTGGCACCATTGGGAAGGACAAGTGAGGAGAGGCTGCTAAAATCTCAGTGGTGTGACGAATAGAGACATTAATGGCGCCCACTCGAGCAAATTGATGAACAACTGGATGACAGTGATACAGTGATGTATATATACACATATATGTGTTACATACATACATAAATATATTGTATATAATGTATGGCAATATAGGCTTATTTCAAGAAACTAGTAAACTCATAATTAAAAATCTCAGTGAGCATAAGAAAGAACCAGAAAAACAAATGAAGTCAAAGGTCATATTTAACAACATAGATGACATGGATAATTCCTTAGACTCAGGTAATTCTTCAATACTGAATCATGGAGCAATATGTCAGTATGTTTAATGACTGTAGAGACAAAAATCTACAATACTATATTTTCAAACCAAATTTAACAATATTTTGCAAAAATCTTATACCACAAAAAGTGGTACTTATTCCAGGGATATAAGGATGGTTCAACATATCCATAATGCATTATATCAGCAACATAAAGAATTTTAAAAAATGTGGTCTATCAATTGTACAGTGAGTGGATCATTTACCCTAATCACTGCCAACACGGTTTTACTCCCTGGCACCACATATGGTTCCTTGAGCACCACCAGGAGTGATCCTTAAAGACAGAGCAGGAGTAAGCCTTGGGCACCACCAGGTATGCCCCTTCCTCCATCCCCCCCCCCCCGAGAAAAAAAAAGAAGAATGGTGATCTGAACATTTTCTGATAAGGTTCTCAATAAAATCTATAAATGGATGGTATTTAAACATAACAAAGGTCACTTATAACAAACAAATAGATAACATCATAATGGTGAAAAACTTTAGGCTTTGGACTCAGAGGATCTAAATGGACATTTCTCTATAGAAGACACATACAGAATGCCAACAAACACCTGAATAGGTGCTCTTCACTGTTTGTCATTAGAGAAATCTGAACCAAAATCACAATGAGTTTTACTTACTGTTTTTCTAGAACTGCTATTATGGAAAAGACAAGATATAGTGGTTGAAGAGGATGTGGAGAAAAGAGAAAACTTGCACACTCTTCATGAGAAGGTAAATTGGTGTAATCACTATGGAAAATGGTATGAGATTGATCAAAAAATTGAAAACATAATTACTATGTTATACAGAAAAATTCGCTTCTGGGTGTTTGTCCAAACACCCTGAAAAACTCATTCAAAAGTTTGTTTAACCTATATGTTCATTGCAGCACTATTCACAAAAACTAAGCTAAAGAAACGAGTGTTCGCTGATGAGAGACTAGACACAAAAGATGATAGATAGTACTTCATTTTTTTTCCATAGAGAATTACTCCTCTATTAAAAAATAAAATGAGGGACCAGAGCCATAGTACAGTGGTTAGGGTGCTTTTCTTACATGTCACTGACCTCAGTTTGATCCCCAACATTCCATATGGTCCGCCAAGCCTACCAGGAATGATTCTTGAGTGCAGGGCCAGGAATAACCCCTGAATATTACCTAATGTGGCCCCCAAACCAAAAAATAAATAAATAAAACCAAAGTTTCCTATTTGGGACAACAAGGATAGATCTGGAGAACATTATGAAAAGTGGGAAGAATGAAATAAATACAAAATGCAAGATAAAACAAATGAACAACCAAAACGAACCCTGGATTGTGACAACAGAATAGTCCTTACAAGAGGGAAAGAGGATGGAAGGTCAGAGAAGAGGCAGATGGAACTGATTTGGTGAAGTGGATGGTAACCAGACCTTTGACAACAAATCTGGTGTGGCATAAATGGCTGTCAATTTGTAAAGCTGTAAAACTGAAGTTGGAAACCAATGCCACCTTTTCTAAAATAAATTGAAAAAGAAGAAGAAGAAATATAATATAAAATTGATAGTAAATTTACACAGAGCTTCAACAGATAGGGAAGAAATTAACAAAGACTTCAAAATGATTCCCTAGCATTCCAATAATGGGGGAAAAAATGGAAAAGCAGAGGCCTGTGCTAGTAATGCACAAGAACGTGAAAGGTATGTACAGTTGAAGGCATCTAATTAGTTTATAGATAAGATCACTGAATCCTATCCACAATCACCTGCCTATGTCAGTTTCATTTCCTCTCGTGACTATGGCTTGAAGGACACCAGTTTACATTCTAACTATATTCTGGTATACAGGTAAGTGAGCAAGTGAAAAAAATTTATGTTAAAAGTTGAAATTAATTCACAACTTCATAAAATGTTCATACTATTTTATAGATGGTACTTTCGAATAATCTGTAAGCCTTATTCCCAAATGAGTTTGTGTTCTGTGACCTCTGGCTTACCAGGAGAGAAATCAGACTTACAATTTTGTTCCCCTAAGGACTTCGTCGCTATTAAAGTTGGGAGTTTTCATTCTCAGTGAGTCTGAAGTAAGAGAAGGCAGCCTCTTATGCACTGGTGTTTTCTTTGAAGAATTTTGCAGACTGCGCATTTCTGAGGATCGTCCTGGGTGGTGCCGAGCCCAGGAAAAAGCACTGGCTCCAAAAGCCAATGATTTGTCCTCCTGCTCACTCCTGGGTGAGAGAGAGATCAAGTGAATTTTTCAGAATTGAGCGCAATGAGAACGGGGGACGCCCATAATTGCCAATTACTAGGCAGCATCTCAGAATACTGCCTGGCACTGAAAAGATACTCCTAAGGATTTGACTGTCATTCCCAGTGAAATTCAATGAAAAAAAAAAAGTTCTCAGGTTTGTGATCAAAGAGTAAAAACCCCAAAACTACCCAGCTACAGCCCCATTTTTTTCATCTGTTCCAACCTAACATCAATGGTTTGTAGTTGATATTAGAATACTGTTTTCATTTACATTAAAAGCAACCTCCCTGGGATGTGTGCAGATACCCAGAGCACAAGAGTAAACAGGATTCTTATTGTCTTGTGTCTTGTGTGATCTTTAGTGTACAGAGGAGTTCAGCAGAGGGAACAGACAGCATAATTATTCCTTATACATACTGTGTTCTATCTGCAAAAGAAGAAGGCCTCTGCTGCAAGGGTTTGGCTTGAATTATCATCACACCATTCAAATCTCTGTAAAAATTGTTGGAGAAGCTCTGAAACAAGAACAACAATGAAAAATGAAAGAGCCTCCGATGTCATACCATTTACTGATGTGTTTCAGGAATCACCAGGAAACAAACGGCACCATCTGACTGGCTATTTTGAATTTAGTTTAATGCAGTACACTGCACAGTGGGTAAGACGTTTGCCTTGCATATGGCTTATCTGAGTTCTATCTTTGGCATGCCACATAGTCCTCCGAGCACCACCAAGAAGAATTCCTGAGAGCAGAGCCTGAAGCAATCCCTGGGCATTACTGGGTGTGGCAAAAGGAAGGAAGGAAGGAAGGAAGGAAGGAAGGGAGGGAGGGAGGGAGGGAGGGAGGGATGGAGGGAGGGAGGGAGGGAGGGAGGGAGGGAGGAAGGGAGGAAGGGAGGAAGGGAGGAAGGAGGAAGGGAGGAAGGAAGGAAGGAAGGAAGGAAGGAAGGAAGGAAGGAAAGGAAGGCGGGAAGGAGGGAAGGAAGGAAGGAAGGAAGGAAGGAAGGAAGGAAGGAAGGAAGGAAGGAAGGAAGGAAGGGAAGGCGGGAAGGAAGGAAGGAAGGAAGGAAGGAAGGAAGGAAGGAAGGAAGGAAGGAAGGAAGGAAGGAAGGGAAGGCGGGAAGGAGGGAAGGAAGGAAGGAAGGAAGGAAGGAAGGAAGGAAGGAAGGAAGGAAGGAAGGATGGAAGGAAGGAAGGAAGGAAGGATGGACATAGCACACTATCGTAGATACATGAAGCAAAATAAATGAGGAATAGCTTAATTCCTCAAGGTTTGAGGGGATCCATTATTACTCTGATCCATGAAGTTGAGAGCAGGGAGTCTAATTTCCAGATTTCTGGAATCTTGGCAAGAGTAGCTACATGAGGGAAATTTCAACAGCCCCCCGTGGTCTTGCAGAGATAGTCCAGGTAAACAAAACAGGTTTCATTGTTCCCTGATAAGAAGCTCTCTGCTGCAGTCAATAGCTGTCAACATCCAGGCAGAGAAAGTGGGCAAGACAGAAACAGGCTTCAGCGAAGTAAGGACGTCAGAGCTTCTGACATGTGGACTGGCCTTCAGGCTTTTTTCCAGCTCTGTACTCCACAACTTACCCCTCCTTTACTTCCTAGAAGCAGCGGGGTAACCTATAAAGCTCTTCACTTGAAGTCCCCAGTTCGAAGTACTGCTTCCTGATTGGTAATCTTGGGAAGATTACTTTGTTCCTGGAGGGATTTTCTTTTTTCTTTTTTTTTTTTATTAATTATATATAATGTATTTCCAAATTCAGACAGAATATTTTCATTATATTTTCCCTATCATGAAGATAACATTAATGTATGCCTATTGCTAAAGGAAGTAAAAAATTCTTGTATGTAAGGGAGAAATGAAAATCTTCTTCACTATTCCCCATTTTATTTAGCCTCATTCAAATGAAACTTTCATCTCATGAAATAGCAATCACTTCTTTATTTAAAAAAGACCATGTTTTTAAGTGTTACAAGCTTCCCAGAAAAAAATTAGGGAAAGTACAGAAAATCTTTTGACAGCATTTTTTCTTTAACATTTGCCTGAAAATATATTGTATTTATAATAAATGTCTGCAATTATATTTTCTTTAAATACTATTACTATCATTTAAAAATTTTAGGCACTGATTTGCGGTAGGGCATTTGCCTTGCACGCGGCCACCTTAGCCGACCTCAGTTCAATTCCTCCACCCCCTTGAAGAGCCCCGCAAGCTACCGAGAGTATCTTGCCCTTGCGGCAAAGCCTGGCAAGCTCCCTGTGACGTATTCGATATGTCAAACACAGTAACAACAAGTCTCACAATGGAGATGTTACTGGGCCTGCTCGAGCAAATTGATGAACAATGGGAGGACAGTGCTACAGTGCTACAGGCACTAATTTACAATACCATTAATGGTAGGGTTTCATCAAACAATGTTCCCACACAGCACATAAGAGGGTCTCACAAGCAGAGCTTAGGAGGTTCAGGGTGCCTCAGTTAAATGCAGGGACTCAAGGTTGTAGCCACATGGAAGGTACATTCTTTAACGCCTGTACTATTTATTCAACCCCTGCCATTAGAAATTTTTTGTTTGTTTTGCTTTTTGAGTCACACCTGGTGATGCTCAGGGTTTTACTCCTGACTCTACTCCTGGCAGTGCTCGGGGTACCATATGGGACACTGGGGATCGAACCCAGGTCGACCGCATGCAAGGCAAAAGCCCTACACACTGTACTATTGTTCTGCCCATGCCATTAGAGTTTTATATCACTGGTATATCACTGTCCTCCCGTTGTTCATCGATTTGCTCAAGTGGGCCCAGTAACATCTCCATTGGAGACTTTGTTATTACTGTGTTTGGCATATCGAATACCTCACAGGTAGCTTGCCAGGCTCTGCCATGCGGGCGAGATACTCTCGGTAGCTTGCCGGGCTCTCCGAGAGGGGATGAGGAATTGAACTCGGGTCGGCCATGTTGGCTGTGTGCAAGGCAAACACCCTACCGCTGTGCTATCGCTCCAGCCCATTAGAGTTTTAAGTCCAAACATTCAAGTGAGATAGTGAAAACTTTTTGGCAGTAATTCTAAGAATTAAATAACAATGGCAAAAGCAGGAAGTGAGGCCAGAGTCATTATGAATTCTGTTTTTAATTCATGGTATGACCACCTAGGGTACAAAACAGTAGATCCAGAAATACAAGATTTCTGAAACTTGAACTTGATTCCAGTTCAAGACTAGGTGAAAGAAGCACAATATTAAAAGAAAATGTTATCTCTGACTATTATTACCACTGGGATGCTTTGGCTATTTTAAAATAAACTCTATTAGCATATTATTTTTACTGTGACTTTGTTGCCTGTTCATTTTATTCAAGTTAGTATTTATATAAAAATACTTATTGCAATGTTGAAGAAACTAGATATATATATACACGCAATATGTACATAGATATAATGTAGAGAGATTGTATGCTTACAATATGTATGTATGGTATAATATGTATTATTATACATGTATAATACTTTTTCTTATTTTAGGGGTGAACATTTGTAAGCTTCAAAGAGTCTAAAAATATTAGAGATTTGAAGAATTATTTATCCTCTTCAAGAAGGTGAAGAGTGGCGAGGATAGTTCGGAAGGCAAGACCACGGGCCTGGTATACACTGGGCCTCTGATTTGGTCTTGGGCACCAAATGGCCTCTCAAACTCCATGAAATTATTAGTTTATTGACAAGGGGTTGGAGCGATAGCACAGTGGGTAGGGCGTCTGCCTTGCACGCAGCCAACATGGCCGACCCGAGTTCGATTCCTCCGCCCCTCTCGGAGAGCCCGGCAAGCTACCGAGAGTATTCGATATGCCAGACACAGTAACAACAAATGGAGACGTTACTGGGCCCGCTCGAGCAAATCGACGATCAACGGGAGGGCCTTTACTTTACTTACTTATTGACAAAACCAACTTAATATGTTGAGATAATGGATTCTGATAGCATGGAACTTTTGACAGTCTAAGGCCAGAGACATACAGATTGAAGGGAAAAACAGAGAAAGGAGGAAAAGCAATACCTGGGGAGGATGAACACGAGAAGTCAGGGATGTGCTTCGTGTTTCGGAACTCCTGGATGGAGGAACACTTGATGCCTCGGTGTGAACATGGGAGGTGAGGCCCTGGAGAGGCTTCGTCTTGACTGACTTCTCTTTCTCCTTTTTCTTCTCTGTGTCAGCAGAAAAATCAGTATTAGTAAACATCACACTAATATACACACACACACACACACATACATATATATTTTTTTTTTAACTCACTGCTTAAATAGAATTTTATTCCTGAGCTAGTAGAAGCTTGCTCTGGGCACTGAATTTAGCTATAGAGAGGAGAAAGTTCGGCAAGTAAATTGCATCCATAACTCTTTCCCACACAAATGACGAAAAGCTCAGCTCAGCTGGAGTCAGGGGCCATACAATAGATATTATTGGGGTAGGTCCCTTTGCATAGTGCTCCTGGGCTCAGAAGCCACTCTCAGGGGTTCCTGAAGACCAGAAAGTGCTCAGTGACCGCTATGGCCATACCTGAGGTGCTCAGGAAACATGTGATGCCAGAACTTGAACTTGGGTCCTTGTGCTTGCAAGGCCTGAAACCCAACCCCAGAAAGATTCTTGTATTTTACAAAACCCCCACTAACCCCTTGGGTTAGAATCAAAGCAGCCTTCACTTCCTTACCAAGCCTGCGATCTCCCTTGAACATATATCTTGCTTGCTTGATCCTATGTTTCTTCACTATTTTCACTCTGGAGAAGCCTGTCGCTTCCTCTCGAACATGTACTTCTCTCTCTCCCTTCAAATCTATCTAAATAAGTTTCAATGGAAACTACCTTGCTTCACCAAAATAACACAAGCAAAATAAACAGATTAATGTTGACTTCAGTGTGACTACTGCACAAATCGATTAGTCACTATCAATCATCAGTGTCTACCATGGACTTTTTTATGATTTACTTTTTTCTCAATTTTAACTAGCTGTCAGCACATTTTATAAATTGAAATGACAATAAATCAAAATTGTTACTGAATTCGTTGTCTTCACATTTTATTCTACAAACAATACCTCAATTGAAAACCTGTATTTCATTATTAGACAATAGGTAACTATATTTTCTACTCCAAAGTAAGGCCTTCCTTTATTCTAGTGTATTTCTATTTTTCTGAAGTAGATATATGTTACTTTTATAGTTTGGAAAACAACAACATCCCTTTGATATGATTAAAACCACTGGTGAGAAAAATCCTCCCCCTCGTTTGCGGATCACATATTAGATAAGGCTGAAGAGGGTTGGGGAGAGGGTGTGGGCAGAAAAGTTGGGTGGTTCTTTTCATTTGGCTAAATGTTATGAGTAAGTACCTGTGAGTGTAGTTTCCCAGTTTTTCCTAATCAGCTCTCCCAACATTTCTACCACATTTGTCCAGATGTGGTCAAATACTTCTGCTGCCACCGTATCCTTGATACAGTCATGAGGGGACACAGGAGGGAGGCCATGTTTGCGCCATGCCCAATGTCGCTGAGCTGGTTTCTGTCCACCGCTATCATCATTTCTGTGGAAAAAACCCATTCTCATAAGTAAGAGTACCGGTGCTTAAAGTCAGACATATGCTGAAGGCTGTCATCCACGCATACATGTATCTTATACATAAAAATAAACACAACTTTCTTATTGAACTGCATTAAATGAATGTATAAGACTCATTATTATTTTTAATGGGCGGATATACTCTCATTCATCTGTAGAACATAGTGAGAAAAAAACAAGGGATAAGAAAATATCAGGGACTGGAGTGATAGCACAGCGGGTAGGGCGTCTGCCTTGGACACGGTCAACTCAGATTCGATTCCCAGCATCCCATATGATCCCCTGAGCACCACCAGGAGTAATTCCTGCATGAACAAGCCAGGAGTAACCCCTGTGCATCACCGGGTGTGACCCAAAAAGAAAAAAACAAAACACAAAAACAAAAAAAAGAAAATATCAAACAATGGCAAATCCTATAATCATGGGCAATGGTAAGGTGGATGGATAATGATTAGACTAGAGGTGACATAAGGGGGAGGGGTGGAGACTCATGGGCCCTCTGATGGTGGAGATATACAGTGTTTGTACACCAATACCATATATTTGGCACCGATCTCACCTAAACTATGATTAAAAATGTTAAATTGTTATAGTTTATGTAATATCATTACAACAGATTTAAGGTTACAGAATTGATGTACAACTACACCATCACAAAAGAGTCAATGACCCTCAAGACCCATTTTTAATATATAATATTTGTCACACATGTTTAAGAACCAAGTATGCATGTAAGAAAGATACTGAAACTTTCCTTTGGCCCCCTGAATAATCATGGTCCCTAGATCTGCCCGTATTTGTCCATTTTCACCAGCATCTAAAACAGCTCTTGTGTATTATCTGCACCATAGTGTCTAAAAAGCATTGCTATCCTATATATACTTCCAGCTAGGATGCTGAGACCTTTAGGAAGGACACTGCCAACCTTACTGATGGAAGAGAAATACAAAAACTGAAATAAATGTATAATCAAACAGAAGTCAAAGAACTATCATTACAGTAGTAAGTCAATGTCAAACAAAATTTTACATACTCTTCTTTTCTGTCAAAAGCAAAATATTCTTCAATCTTTCCATCCACATCATAAACCTCTTCTTCTAGAGACGCACGTGTGGTCAGGTCGGCCGCCTCTGTGGAACCCTGGTCTGGTACGGTGGAGTAGGAGAGAGCTGCAGGGACCATGTGGGAGCCAGAGATGCAGAGCCTGTGGGAGAAGCAGACCGCCATGGATATGTGTGCAACCTCAAGAAAGTGCTGTCTGAGTGATGGCAGTGGGCAACACTGCATCAGAAGGGCAAGCCTGCATCAAAAGTCATTCTATACTACATCCTTCTGTAGTATAAAACTCATGTCTTGGGGCTGGAGCAATAGTACAAAGGGTGGCCTTGCATATGACCAACCCGGGTTCAATTCACAATGTTCCATATGGTTCCCCAAGCACCACCAGGAGTAATTCCTCGGTGCAAAGCCAGGAGTAACATCTATGTATCACGGGTGTGACCAAAAAAGAAAACAAACAAACAAAAAAATGCTCCAATCTTGTGCCAGAGATCACTCAAGGGGCTGCATGCATGCCCTGCATTTGGGAGGCCCTGATTCTGTTCCTGGATTCCTGGGTCCCCCCTGTCCCCCCTGAGTACTTCCAGGAGTGACTACCCTGCAGCAGTGGGAGTGGACCTGGACTACCATGTATGATCCAAACACCCAAATTAATGAATAAAACAAATTCTAACTCTTTTCAAAGGCAACATTTGTATACTGGTTGGCATCATTTGATTTTTAGAGTTTCTTAAACCATAAATTCTGAATTTGTACTTTCTTTTCTCTACTAAACAGATATCAATACACCATCCCAAGTATGTGAGGATGGCGTAGAAATATTTAGCAAAATCCGCTAGTGAACAGAAGTAAATCGTTTAGCATTATAGTTTTCCACTGTTGCCTTGGTGCTTAGAATCCATCACAATGATTCTCGCAATACTTTCACATGGTCTTGGAAAATATAATTTAAAAGTTAACTCCTTGGATATCTGTTTCTCTATCTATTACTCCCCCCCACACACACACATACACATCACACATCATCATCATCATCATCAACTTCATCTTCATCAGTTCAAAATCAGAACATTCTATTGGTCTGATTCTTCCCTTCACTAGAATATTTGAATTAATGGAGGCAAGGATCCTGACTGAGAGGGAGCTTCTCAAGTAGAACAACGCAATTCTAAGTACTCTTCCAAAATAAATTATAGAAATGTACTCTCTGACGTTGCTGCTGCATTCATAGGCCTCAAATAAGGGCTTGGGTACTACAGTACTTGGCTTTCTGCCTTGGAAATGTTGGAACCCTTCATCTGTTGGCAGGATGAGCTGTTTTCCTAAGACTCTGCAAGATAAAAATAAATAAATCAGGAAGTTATTAATATTTTAATGGGAAAGGAAAAATGTTTTTCAATATTGAGAGAACAATAAAATATTTTAGTGTTTTTAAAGTTTCAAGTACAGGGTTGGAGCGATAGTACAGTGGGCATGGCATTTGCCTTGCATGCAGCCGACCTGGGTTCGATTCCCAGCATCCCATATGGTTCCCCGAGCACCGCCATGAGGAATTTCTGAGTGCATGAGCCAGGAGTAACCCCTGTGCATCGCTGGGTGTGACCCAAAAGTATATACTGCTGCACGAAAAAGTTTCAAGTTTATACTGGTGCATACTGGTATAGAAAAAGCAAAGGATAAAGTCTTTGTGCCACTAAGTGATTGAAGTAAAGTTATCAGCTCTTGCTGTTAAATGGTTTCATGTGTTGTCCAATTTGCACATGGTGGATAGAGAAATGTACACTTCTCGTCTATTTTTTTCTTTTTGGGCCACACTCAGCAATGCACAAGGGTTACTCCTGGCTCTGTACTCAGAAATTACTCCTGGCACTGCTTGGGGGACCATATGGGATGCTGAGAATCGAACCCAGGTCGGACGAGTGCAAGACAAACGCCCTACCCACTGTGCTATCACTCCAGCCCCTACACTTCTCTTATGTTCCTTCATTTCCCCACCTTCTTCTCCTTAATTTTTATCCAATTATGTAAGACAACCGCTCGGAGTGATAGCACAGCGGTAGGGCGTTCACCTTACAAGCGGCCAACATGGCCGACCTGAGTTCGATTCCTCCGCCCCTCTCGGAGAGCCCGGCAAGCTCCCCGTGACGTATTCGATATGCCAGACACAGTAACAACAAAGTCTCCAATGGAGACGTTACTGGGCCCGCTCGAGCAAATCGACGATCAACGGGAGGGCCTTTACCTTTACCTTTACCTTTATGTAAGACAACAATGGCAGGACTGTTGTCAGCAGGACCAGCTCCCGACTTTTTAATGAGCATACCATTCTGAAAATAGTAAGCATTTCAAATGGACATGCTTTATTTTTTAAAGTGCGGGCTACAATAGCTGAAAATTAATAACAATTAATTTTACAAACTAAATATTTTATTAAGTTACTGGAGTTTATTATTTTGGTTTCTTCTTCCAAGACATGACACAGAATTACTCTGGCTAGCTATGATAGTTTTCGTAAAAGGGCTAGCTGAGTAATTGAAAAAGAAAAGTCTCCTTATACCCAAAATATATTATTGATCTTTCAAAAAATGAATTCCGCCTACATAGGAATCTTGAGAAAATAGTAGGATTTATCTAGCAATAATTTAGCAAATAGTTAACCTGCCTTAACCTGCCTGCCGCACCACTCCACCAGCTGGCCCTCCTAGCTGTTGACATAGTGACAGCAAGGCAAATACTAAGTTCCACGAGGAAGAGCAACGCTAAATTCTTCCCACACATACAATTCAGTGGAGTGTAGCCCAGCTAGAACTCCCCTGCCCAGCACCACTGAACATCCTTCTCAGGACTGATCCTAGTGGTCCCAAGCACCAACTGGTTTGTAGCACTGTGTCAAACCACCTGGAGTAACGAGAGCCCCCCCCCCACTCCCCTCTCCACTGATGTGAACCCTGTTATCAGTTTAAAAAGACTGACTCCCCTCATTCCTGTCTTTCCCCACATTATAAAAGGAATGTCCCCACATTTCCTCAGCCATCATTGAAATGATGTGATTGATTTCTCAGGAAGGAACATGCATTGCAGATACAGATTTCGATGGAACAAGTTCTTTTTCTCAGAGCGACACAAAACATTATCGGGAGAGAGTTTAAACATTCCAGAGAATGACTACGAGCAACTTTCTTACCTCAGATGTAGGGACCTTTTTGCCCACTCGCTGCATTCAGCCTGTAGATTCTGGGTCTGTGGGCTCATTTTCTCTTCAAATAACATTTCCTCCACCTCCCAGAACAACTGCTGTACTTTCTGTGCACTGGCTTTATCAAACTCCTAAAACAGCAATGCATATATGATTTTAAGAATAAATGTTGTAGACCTATATGCTTCCTCATCAATATTACTTAAAGATTTGAGGGTGTCTGGGCTGGAGAGATAGCATAGGGATGAAGGTGCTTGCCTTGTATGTGGATAATCTTGGTTCAATCCCTGATACCACTTTGGGTCTCCCAAACATTGCAGGAAGTGATCTCTGCAGACAGAGCCAGGAGTAAGCCCTGGTCACCAGCAGGTGTGGCTCAAATTCCTTCACACCACCACCACCACCACCACCAATATAACAACAACAACAAAATAAAGGTAGACAACATAGGTAGGAGTACATCCTGATAGAAATATTGGGGAATTTGCAAACAGAAAAGTGGTTTGAATTTTACTCTGCTCATAAATTATAATCCAGTTTTATCCTTGGTTCCTTTAAATGTTAAGAGTGATCATGCCTACCACCTGTGTTATCAGACATTTTTGAGGTTTGACATAGAGATATCAATACAGATATACATTTGACACAGGCAGTGATATAGCCAGACACCCCTACATCTATGCAAATACACAACAGATACACACAAAGAGATGTCACAGAGAAAACCTTTATAGAATTGAGCCTCTTCAGTACTTCTGAAAAACACAAACTATTTTTTTATCTTTTGATGATGGTATAGCAAAGGGAAATACCATTTTACAGAGTCTTCTTCCTTCTTTTAATCAACAAAGAAAAGAAACTTTAGTTTTCCTATAAAGTGTGGTTATTAGGTTGGGTCCAGAGTTTTAATTTTTGTGTTTAGCCTGAATTAAGATATTCTTGGGCTGAGACTCAGTGAACTCTTGGGGAAAAATTCTCAACCATACTACATGTTTTAGAATGCTGGTATGTCATAGTCTCTTGACCTTTCCAGCCAATCAGAATATAAACATCACTAGAAGAGCTAAAGCTACACTGTGGACTCCAGGAGATTGGGAGTCTGGCTATATTCGCTTCTAGCAAGTTGAGGCACGTGAAAATAATCTACACCTCGGAACAACAAAGTGCATACTCAGTTTGATATTCTTGATCTAATATTTAGATATATTTTACAGAATGCTGTTTCTATTTTATTTCTGATTTCTTTCTTTGGGGGGAGTATTGAGTCCTTTCAAGTTGTGTTAAGAGTTTATCTCTGGGGGCTGGAGCAATAGCACAGCAGGTAGGGCATTTGCCTTGCATGCGGCCGACCCGGGTTCCATTCCCAGCATCCCATATGGTCCCCTGAGCACCACCAGGAGTAATTCCTGAGTCCATGAGCCAGGAGTAACCCCTGTGCATAGCCGGGTGTGACCCAAAAAGCAAAAAAAAAAAAACCAGTTTATTTCTGGCTCTGCAATCAGTGATCACTTCTGGACCATATGGGGTGCCAGGGATCTAACCCGGATCAGCCCACCTGCTATACTATCACTGAGGACCCACTATTCAGTATTTCCTGCTTCTTCCCTTCTTCTAAATGTCTAAAAACTAGACTCCTAAGGCACTTAGTATAATTTTTAATTATCTCTAAAAAGGCAAGTAATATAAAATAAATATGACTATTTACCTCCTAAGAGGGAACTGGGCCTACTTTTACATCTTTTGCATTTATGTTGCCATTGAAAATGCTTTCCAGGGGGACTGGAGCAATAGTACAGCAGGTAGGGCATTTGCCTTGCACACGGCTGACCCAGGTTCGATTCCCATATGGTCCCCCAAGCACCACCAGGAGTAATTCCCGAGTGCAAAGCCAGAAGTAATCCCTGAGCATCGCTGGGTATGATCCAAAAAGAAAAAAAATGCTATTCATTAAATATAAATAACTATTACAGGTAATTTGGTATTCAAAGCAGTCTAGGGACTTAGAGTGATTGAAGGTCTTCCTAATAGAAGTCATCGGAACCTGCTGGCTAATGACATGAAAACACGTACTCCATGCATCCTTGAGTGTGGACTAAGTGAAACAACAGTTCCCAACCTTCCTCCCAGATACAAACTCAGTCAGCATGCAAAAGTGTGAGTGCGGAGGCAGGGCAAGGGGTAAGGGTGGAGGCTGTTCATCTTGAGTGAGACTTTGACCTGGTTACCCCAGGAACTCGGAGCTTCTCCTTGTTCTCTCCAATCCTTCCACCCTTCCACCCTCCCTCCTCTGCCTCTCAGGCTGTCTAACCAGAGAAGAAGTAGAGCCCGTGTGTAGTGAGGCCACAACACTGCTTATAAAGATGGACAAGAAAAATGGACACAACAAAAGAAAGAGTAGGCACTCAAACACCAGGTGCAAGAGAGTTTTCCACTCCCCTGCCAAGGGGCCTTCACCAAGGCATGTCTGGATTAGGGGGTCACCTGAGGCAATAAAGAGGCAGGCGCCTGAAACTTGGGCTCCCTATAAAAGCCAGAGCTGTTGATATTAGGTCACCCAGCTGAGCACACACTTGGGGGAAAAATTACAACAGGGACCCAGAGGGAGCCAAAGAGATAATACACGCATGAGTCACAAGGACCCTGTCTGGGTTTGAGCCCCAGCACCATTAGGAGTGATCCCTGAGCACAGAGCTAGAAGTAAGTCTTGAGCACAGCCAGGGGTGACCCCCAAACAAAACAAACAACAATTACAATAGTTCAGTGACTTCCAGTAGGTTTAGAAGATGAAAGTAAAATATCAAACTTTGAATACTGGGTACTGGCTACCGAATGTAGCCTGCCCACACGGCAGAGTCTGGCAAACTCCCCGTGGCGTACCCAATATGCCAGATACCAGTAACAATGATGGGTCTCATTCTCCTAACCCTGAAATAGCCTTGAATATGGCATTTTTAAAAAAATCTCAGGGTTAGGACAAAGGAGACAATACTGGGACCTGCTCGAGGCAATCGACGAATAACAGGATGGTTGTGATTGTGAATACTGGGTGTGAGTATGAGGGAGATGCCTTAATCATGGTAAATTTTTCGCTTTTTTCCATTTTCTCCTCTTCTTCAAGTTCCTACTTGCCATGACCAATATATTGGACATGACAAAAAGAAACTACCGACAGCTGAGACTAGTTTATCTTGATGCATTTTAATTTCTTTCTACATTTTCTCAAACATTTTTAAGCTCCCATGTAAATACTTCTAGTGGTGTATATACAATAAGTAATGCTTTTGAAATGGGGGAAACAAGTTTTCTTCAGTAAGAAATCAATATTCCTGATAAATTATAGTCCAGAGATTATCCAAAATACTCTGAGCCTTACATCATCTCTCCAAGAGTAGACGGAGCTCCTCTCAGCAGAACAGCCTGTGGTAGAACTCTGAGTCTCAGACCAAGAGTTATGCACTGCTGTGGGCGTGGGGCACCCACTTGATGAAAGAGATGACGTGGATTCACTGCAGGAAGGAGCACAGAAACATCAGTGACATAGCCTCACATTATCTGTACTGTAAACCATAATACCCAAAAGTAGAGAGAGAGTAAGAGGGAAATTGTCTGCCACAGAGGCAGGGGGACAGGTGGGATGGGGTGGGGGTGGGGGGGACACTGGGGACATTGGTGGTAGGGAATGTGTACTGGTGGAGGGACGGGTGTTCGATCATTGTATGACTGAAACTCAAACATGAAAGCTTTGTAACTGTAGCTCAAGGTGATTCAATTAAAAAAAAAACATCAGGGACATGTACAGGGAAGAGACTATACTGGGAAGTGGAGCTTATTCCTTCTTTCATTATAGGCATTTGTTAATGTGACAAACTAAAAGTTCTCCCCAGCACTCTCGCACTGTCCTCCAGTTGTTTATCGATTTGCTCGAGCAGGCACCAGTAACGTCTCCATTGTGAGACTTGTTGTTACTGTTTTTGGCATATTGAATACATCACAGGGAGCTTGCCAGGCTCTGCCGCGCGAGTGGGATACTCTCGGGAGCTTTTCAGGCTATCCGAGAGGGGCAGAGAAATCAAACCTGGCTCGGCCGAGCTGGCTGCACGCAACGCAAACACCCTGCTGCTGTGCTATTGCTCCAGTCCTTATTTTAAATTAATCTTGCAATCTAATATTTCACTCAACTGAAAAGCAAAACTTCCCTCTTTTTCTTAAGAAATTCATGGATAATCTTTGGTATTTGCTTTCCGTATTTATTATGAGCATGCTTTGATTCTGTAGTCAGAAGCATTTACAATGGTTCTTACCAGGTATATTTATCAATGGCTTTTTGCACATTTCTTGTAAAATGTGTAGGCAATGGACCTTTGCTTTTCAAGGCAAGACTGTGTTTTCCAGGTTCGTCTGGCAATCCTCTTCTGAAATACAAAAAATAAATATACACAGGTGAGAAGGATCTCTAATGCAAAAATATTATTTTATTCATTAAGATTGAAATATGTTCCTTGGCGGTTGGTTTCTCCTTTCTTCCTGTCATGCCCTCGTAGACACACAAATAACACACATGACACATAGCTTCAAGATAGTGAACTCTAAGACACTATCACTTATTTGTCTGTATACTCTGTATGTTTGACTTCTAGAGGTTAATATAATAACGTTCTCTTTTATCATCAACTAAATCATTTAAGATCTATAGCCAGATACCAATGGAGCATTTTGCTTCAGGGAATTTTAAACAGCCACACCTTCAGTCTTATGGATTATGTCTGGCTTGGCTGTCTTACTGAGAGAGCTTCAGAGACCCCCAAAACTGTATAAACCCCAACACTCTTAAAGATTGAAAAAAACCTGCTGGGAGATATTAATTGAGTCCATCCCTCTCTCAGCATCTCCAACTCATTCTTAGTAACTTGTGAGTAACTTATGCCTCCCCTCCCCCAGGACTCCTGCCCTCAATAGCCCAAAGGCAGTTAATGCCTGAGGTTCAGAAGGAGATGGATTTCTTTTTTTCTCTAGATCTGCTCCAGAAATCCGATCTGTCTCTGTTTGCTCCTGAAGAAAAATTATGGCTCTTTCTAGTCATTAAAAATGAGAAAAGGCGGGGGAGGGGCAATGTTTCTTGCTCAGGAAATAATTAATTCTTCTACTTGGGTTAAAATTGACAAAGAACGTGGCAGGAAACCTCCTCTTCCTCAACAGATGGTAACCCCAAGAAACTACTGCCTCATCAGGAGTCGAATTCATCCAACTGTTTTGGCCCTCAGACCACCAGAGACCCCTCAACCCTCCAAATTCCAGCCCTGAACCATCACCAAACCAATTACAGCTGGAAGTCACAGGAAATCATAAGAGCCAGTGTCAGAGGACCTGGGCATGAAGACCTCTGGCTTCTTTAACACATTATGAGGTCGCATTAAGAACAGTTTTTATATCCCGTTTTTACAGGCTATGGATTGGGCAGTGCCAGGACCCTGTGTTTGGACTAACAGTTCCTTCCCTTTAGCCCCTCCTTAGAATTCACAGGAGGAGGGCACAACTTTTAGTAGGAACACCTTTTCCTTTCACTTGAGGATACTCACTTGTATTGGGGCTCCCTTCCCCTCCCCCAATGCCCCTTGGCTTGGAGTATCAAGATCCTGATGCTCACTGCCTCTGATAACTTCCTAAAAGTGTTTGTTCCTCACCTATAAGCTAGGCCACACATCTATGGCTGCCAGTAAAACTGACCAGAGAATGGCTGCATTGCCCTGCTGAAAGGACTCATAACACAGGTTGTGACACCCTCTCCCAAGCTCCCTGAAATTCATTGGAATCCTAATTGTCACTCTTCTGGAACTCATGCTCTTCAAACCTTGACCCAGATGCATTATTTCCTGAAAACCTGGCAAAAGGACTAACACCACCTCTGGACAAGCCCTAAATCAACAGTGACATTGCGCAATAATTTGACATTTTATTATAAGCGCTGCTCTGGTTCCAGGGGCGGAATAAAATCTTGGAGCAACACCATAGCTGGAAGCCTGCCTCATGAGTGGAGGGGAGAAGGCAGCTGGAATAGAGACTAACACCTGGGGATCACTAAGAAAATGATGGCTGGAGGAATTGGTCAGGAGGAGAGATGTGTGCTGACAATAGATAATGGACCAAACATGATAACCTCTCAGTATCTGTATTGCAAATCATAATGCCCAAAAGTAGAGAGAATGGGGAATATTGTCTGCCATGGAGGCGGGGACAGGGTGGGAAAGGGGGTGGGGGTACACCGGGGATATTGGTGGTGAGGAATGTGCCCTGGTGGAGGGATGGATGTTTGATCATTGTGTGATTGTAACCCAAACATGAAAGCCTGTAACTATCTCACGGTGATTCATGATTCAATAGAAGAAATAAATACAAATAAATAAATAAATCTTGGAGCAACAGATGAGACTGTTTTCTGATTGAAATAGTTCCTCTTTGTGTCACCATTTGCGGGATCTGAAGAGAAATAAGTATCTAGATAATCTCACCCTTCAGAACGAGATCCTTTGAGTGTTTAAAGATAAACTCCAAGGAATTCAGTATGAAAACTTAGCCCAGGGTATTTTGGACACATTACAGGGCCTTGACTTGAAGTTATGATAGCAAACTATCACCCACACTATTGCAGCACTGGCTCGACTTTCCTTATCATGTCCATTGTATTGATTATAAGATCCTGCCTCTTTACAGTTTTTCCCCAACATACTCGGACACGTTGCACACTGGGTCCAAGCAGACATGGGGCAAAGGATGATGGGCATGCAGAGAAAAACCCCCAGAAGAAGCTGATGGCTGTTCACTTAACTGCCAAATACACACATATTTTATAGAGGGTCTCTGCTTACAGGAAGGTCCAATCACATAAAGTTTAGCATTACTGGCTTATCATCTTTCCTCCTCTGCTTTGCTCTAGTCCAATCCCTTTCAAGGCTAGATGCTGCAGTTAGGATGACCTGCTAAGGACATGTGACAGTTTCTGTGTCTTTGGTGTATGTGACCAGCAGTGAGGCTCAAGACTGGATACCTGGTGCTGACACCCGGTTACTGCCTACTTTGCCCAAGTATGCCCTTCTTGCGAGGCGTCGCTTCAGGGCCGCTTTGCAAGGATGGTCTGGTCTTGTCTTGCTCCAGTGCCTGTCCTCATGCTCTACATAGGAAAAGACTAAGCTATACTGAGGCCATGACCCATCAAACTTATTACGATCTTTTCTGTTTTGCAAACAGAAAAGGGGGTGATGTCGGGTTATAATTGCAAGCATTTTAGCGTGAACATTTGTCCTTTCACCACCCCTCCCACGTAGGGAGCTTATGTGTATTGAGTTACATCCATCACAGTGCTTCCTTTGTGTTCATCTTTAAGCTCTCCTTTGTGTTCTTCTGCCCCTTACTAATCACTATATCTTCAAACTAGACCCTGTGACTTGTAAAGTCAAATTATTCTGAGGACTCTGAACTTTTGATATATAAGTGAAATATTATTTTTCTCTTTCCTTTATGTTATTTGCATAGTTTTTTTTTAGAGTAATGTAGTATCTACACAGGAAGACAGTTAATGCTATTTGTAACTTGGGAGTTAGTTGATTCAGAATATTCCTAGGCATCTATATTTACTTGACTTAGGCCTCAGTTGCCCTTAATTCCTAACACCCCAAAATGGGGATCACACTGAGGAACAAGGATGAAACAGGGGAAGCCATAAGTTACCCTGGCATCAAAAAGAGACAGGTTAAGCACCCAAAAAGTATAATAAGCCAAGAGAACGGTCGTGGAACAAACTCTATCATTACCCAAAAAGAAGTAACTGAATAAGGACCCTGCTGGGGTTAGGAAAAACTAACCTGAGGATCATAATCTGGGATGTATAGTGAGATGTCCCCAAGAAGAGTCACCGTTTAAGCTTAATATACTCCTGTTGTGTCCATACAAAATGACTAGAAACAGTATTAAGAAGTAAATTAAAGATGATTATTTAAATGGATACTGACTAAGGAAAGGGGAAAGTAAAACGCCCTTAGATGGAATTCCACCCTTGGGCAGACCTCCGAGCAGGATGAGATTTTGTCCTTGAGTATCTCCTAGGGGCTGGAGCATTTGCCTTGCACACAGCCCACCCAGGTTCGATTCCTCCATCCTTCCCTGAGAGCCTGGCAAGCTACCAAGAGTATCCCACCTGCACGGCAGAGCCTGGCAAGCTCCCCATGGCGTATTTGATATGCCAAAAGAGTAACAACAAGTCTCACAATGGAGACATTACTGGTGCCCTCTCAAGCAAATCAATGAACAATGGGAGGACAGTGTTACAGTGCTACATGCACTATCGAGCCTCACTTTGAGCCATGAGACATGGCCATCGAAATCCCGGTTTGATTTCAGTTTCTTTTGACAACATGTTCTTCAAATCACTAAATACATATAGCTAACAGAAATGACCGAGATACACAACCGATGCCTATTTATTTTTCTTTCTTATTTGGCATATAGACTGCTTTGTAGTGTATTTCGACTATTAAAATGAATAGAAAACTGAAACAAAAGAAATTTCCAAATTTCAAATGAGGTTAAACCAGACTAATGTGGCACAGTGTTAATCATTAACGTGCCCTTCCAATGAACTTCTTGAACATTTACTTGTCTCTAGTGAAAATATCCTTTTAATGTTTAACAGTGAATAACACCTCCTCTTTTACAGAAATCACATCTTCTTACACAAACACTTACGTTTATATAAATATAAATACTTGATTTATATAAATGAAGATATGAAAGTTATTTACTTTCGGTATTTCCAATAGAGACACACCAGTCTAACTTTCCTTCAAAAGTTTCCTTTAGATGCTGGTGAAAATGGTATCTGATTTTCAACAGCTGAGTTTCTGATTGCAAAAGGAGTCTTAAAGTATTTTAAGGAAATAAGTCCTATCTTTAGTTATAGACCTGTATTATGTAATAAAGAGAATGGAGAGTTAGTAACTATCGATAGGAGTTAGCAGGAGTCTCTGTCTCTATACATATGTAAGAAAGAATAGAATTGCATTTTTTTCCCTTCCTGGTGGCTTATGTCTTCAATACAACCAAGAAACTCTGAAAATTAAAAGGTCACAAAAGGGGTAAACTGAAGAAAAGATTACAGATCAAAGTCTGTGTTAATAAAAGCATGAGCCTGCTGCGGCTCTGTGAAAACCAGGCCGCGTCCTTTCCTTTCTACCTCCCACAGCACTGCTTGAGCAAGTTGTATTTTGTACTTTGACAGACTTGATCCTTTATAACTTGTTATATCTAAAGCACTTAATCTAATGCCTGTTATTTAGAGATACTGTATATTTGTCAAAGTAAAAAGAAAGGAAAGAAAATATTGGGGGGGGGAGGGCTGTAGCAATAGCACAGCAAGCAGGGCATTTGCCTTGCATGCGGCCGACCCGGGTTCGATTCCCAGAATCCCATATGGTCCTCTGAGCACCAGCAGGGGTATTCCTGACTGCAGAGCCAAGAGTAACCCCTGTGCATCGCCATGTATGACTCAAAAAGCAAATAAATAAATAAGAAGAAGAAAACATTGGAGCCAGGAAAGAGCACCATGGTTAGGAAGTACATCCAGCTTGGTTTTCCAGCATGGTAAGGGCTCGTGCCCTCCAACTCCCAGCATGACTGCAATAACACCACATCCTCATGTCCTAGCCCTGACCTGCCAGCCCAGAAGGCTGAATACCTCCAGCAGCTTGGGATCCCCTCAAGCCAAAAAAGAATTGGCAAATTAGTAGTTCAAAGGAAGGACAAGCAAGGTTTTGTCTGTCATTACTTCGCAATACAAAATATTATAAGATCGTACTTTGAGATTCCATTCTTGATACAAAATATTATATTGCAACAAGACATGAGAATATTCTCCAAATTCAAGATAATTCCATAAAAATTTCCAAGAAAATTTATATCCTTTTAAAGAAAAAGCAATTAATCTTATTATAAGGTATTATATATGATATTTTATATACAAGATACAAAAGCCCCAACCTTTGCTTTTTTTCTTCCCCAAAAATTTTAGAGTAAATAGAATTTTCAGAAATAACATTTACACCCTAATACAGCCTTGTCTCACCTCTTCCCCAAATTTCTTGCTTCCGGTTCTTGCCATCTCTGCTACTTGAAAGCACCATCCACTAGTCAGCTACATGTCAGCTTGTGTGTGTGTGTTGAATGAACAAAAATCTCCCTCCCCCTCCCCCTCCCAATCCAGTTCACCTCTTTTAGAGGAGGAAAAGAGAGTATTCAAACTTAGGAGAAAATGATTTACAAAACGGGAGAGCTTATTGCTCTTCACTGAAATATATTTTAACATCAGCACTCCTCTGAAGTTAGCTGAAGTCAGGAGGTCTTGAAGACACAGGAATTCTGGGGAAATAACTATTATTGCTTTGGGGGTGGGGGGTCACATTTGAATATGCTGCAAGTTAATTCCTGTTTCTGTGCTTCGGGATCACTCCCTGCAAGGCCCAGGAGCCCAGACGTGTCAGTAATTCAACCTGGTTCGCATGTGACCTATCCACCGTCCCATTTCTCCCGTCCAACATTTTTTTTCCTCCTCTGCTTCAACCTGCTTCATCTTTGTTCAAGTCTGCAAACGTCTGCGGAACTTCTTAAGCATCAAAATTCATCAAAATTCAGCTTTAACCTGGGGCCAGTCGCAGGGAAGGCAACGGCCTCCACTCCCACCGCCCCACCCCCCAACTTCCCCGCACGCAGCATCATTTCTGCCACCCACCCAAATGGGGTTTCTACCTGGAAGGACCGTGCACGCGAGCACTGCATTTGGAATGGGGTGAAAAAAAAAGGATGAGAACCGGGCTGCCCCTCGCCCCAAACCCGCGGCCTGATTGACTTCCTAGGCCAGTCTGCCCTAGGAACCAGCCCAGCTGTCCGCCGCCAGGAGGACGCCTCCGTCCGGCGCTGGCACGGGAGGACCAGGGAGCCCCTGGGTGGGGGCTGCGTGGACCCGGGTTTGCAGACAGGACGGAACCCCGCGCCCCGCACCGAGCAGGACGAGCCAGCAGGCGCTTCGCCCGCCCGGGTCCCAGCCCCGCCGAGACTCACCCGATCACGATCAGCCCCAGGCCGCCGCCGGCGTCCCCCGGGCCGGGCCCCGCGCCCCGCGGCCTGGGCAGCGCCGCGCCGGGCCCCGGGAGGCGGCGGGCGGCCGCGCGCCCGCGCGCCCCTCGGGCCTGCGCCGCTCCCCGCCCGCCCAGCCCGGCGCCCGGGGGGCACCCGCCAGCCGGGACCCGGGAGCCGAGAGCAGCGGGGAGCTGCGTGTCCGGGCTGCTCGTGGGGCTCCCCACGCCGCTGCCCGGCGCCCTGCGGGGACGCCTCCCTCCCCGGCCCGCGCCCCGCATCCCCATCTCCCCGGGACCGACCTCCGAAAAAGCGCGCGCTCCCTGGCACGGTGTGCCAGCGCCGCGTCCGGCCTCCTCCCGGGCTCAGTCCCGCCGGTCTCCCGCCTCCCGGATCACCCCCGTCCCTCCCGAACCTGAGGATCAAGGCTGGAACCCAGCTGGCCGAACTTAAGGCCTCCTTGCATGCCCGTGACCCCAGGTTCCACCCCAGAAGCACAGCAGAGGAAAGTGGCCTGAACCCAGGACTCTGTTCAAGCCCCTCCTGCCATCAGGAGGGACCTGGGAGGAGAACAAGAAAGGAATTATTTTGTTAAGGGAACACTCAGACCCTGTAAAGACAAGATGCTAATCAAATCCCTGGGGTTCTAGGTCTGATTATCCCCAGCTCTCTGTTTCCTTCCGTGTTCCCATCCTCAAATAGATGCTTTATCATGCGACCCATGAAGACCCTTCTAGAAACCAGAGACTGCGCACATTGTATATAACACAGGCTTGTTTCGGTCCTGGAGTCTTAGAGTTTTCACCAGGACCAATGTCATTGAATTCTCTGTCCTGAGATGATACAGTGACCCAGCCACATCTAAACCAAAAGAAATGGGAATGAGTTCGTAAAAGTAAATGGCACTTTCAAGCAGGGTTCTGCGTCAGATTTCTTTGAAGGTACTAAGGCCATCGAAGCCTGCCAGCACTCTGATGAGTATAATGCATTTACAGTGCTAACCACATCCACTGAATGTGAATAAAAAATAAAACACGTTATTTATTTTGATTTTTTTTTTCTTTTGGGGTCACACTCAGGGATGCTCAGTCTGCACTCAGGAATTATTCCTGGCGGTACTTGGGGGAATCATAAGGGAAGCGGAATCGAACCCTGCCTGCGCAAGGCAACCGCCCTACCCGCTGTACTATCGCTCCCTATTTTGATTGTTTTTAAGGGTAATTTAAGATGATGATAAGCAACCACTAGCGATCCATAAGATAATACATCAGGCTAGGGCACTTTTCTAGCCTGTTCTTGACCTGCGTTTGATCCCCAGCACCAAATGGACCTGAGAACATTGCCTGATGTAGCCTTGAAGACCTTGAGTACCTTCTGGTGCAGCCCGGGAGATAGCTGGGGTGGCCCAGATGATTCCCCATAGCATCCTCAGTCACCTCCAGGGTGAGGCTGCTGTAGTGCTCAGGTTCTTGCACTGAACTTCTGGTTCAATTGGCTGAGAATCCTGAATCAGACCTCAATAGCACCATTTGGAAACCTACCCCTAAAAAAAAAAAAAAATTTAATCCACAACCAACAGCAAAATAACAAACCATTTCTTCAATTAAGGGTACAAGAAAGCTTACAACTTTCACGATCATTCTTTTTGTTTGTTTGGTTGGTTGGTTTTTGAACCACACCTAGTGGTGCGCAGGGCTTACTCCTGGCTCTGCACTCAGGAATCTTGGTGAGCTCTGGGGACCATTTGGGATGCCAGGGATTGAACCCAGGTTAGCCGTGTGCAAGCCAAATGTCCTTCCCACTGTACTGCGCTCTGACCTCCCTCACTATCAGTTTTAAAGTTAGAGGTAATGTACAAATTCTGAAAATAATCAGTCTAAGCCCTTTTCCATAGATGTATACTATGTGTAGTGTCGCATCTATAGCTCCGTATCATACTTGGCAAGAAAATATGTCATCTGATATAAATACGTATCTCCCAGTACTCTTTATATGTAAAGGGAGCATAAAGTGGATTTGTGATAGGGATATAGGAAAAAGTATAAAAGAATATTAGGTTTCAAAATTATACTAGTTGCTTTATGCATGTTATTTTGTTCAGTATTTAGCTAGATATGCTAGGTCGCTACTATTATCCACTTTCATTGGTGAAAATACAAACAAGGGGGCTGGAAAGATAGTACAGTGGGTAGGGTACTTGCTTTGCATGCAGCCCACCCAGGTTCAATCCAGTCATCCCATATGTTCACCTGAACATTTCCAGGAGTGATTCCTGAGTGCAGAGCCAGAATTAACCTTTGAACATCACATAGTGTGGCCGGAAAAAAAAAAAAAAGAAGAAGAAGAAAGGAAAGAAAGAAAACACTGAACATGATCCTTAAGTCACATGCTCAATTCGATTAAACTGGAATGTGATATGAATGCATGGTCGGCATCAATTACCATATAACAAACCACATCCACTTTAACAGATTAGACAATAGTCACTTTGGTATGCTCACAGTCTACCAAATTCGGAGATTGTGGTAGGATGTGGCTGAAGGATTTTTCTGCTCCCGGTCAGGACATTGACTAGGAAAGTCAGTCATCAAATGGTGATTGGATGATTTGAAAAGTTCTAGAAGATTCACCCACATATCTATAAATATAGATAAAGATTTGGAGGTAGGGGTAGCAAGGCTGGTTATAGCTGGACCCCTCAAGACCCCCCAAAACATTTCTGGAGTCGTGGTATCAAATTTCTTCATGGCATTCCAGAGCTGCAATAATTCAAGCCAGAAGCTATCAATCCTTTTAGAAACTGCCCTGGGTGGGGCTTTTGGCAGTAATCCCTCTAGGCTTATTACTAAAATATCAGAAATCCAAAATTGTGTGGCCGCTATTGCGGCCACACCACATCATATGCTCTTCATAATCAGCAATAGAAAACAAATTATCTAATAATGTCTTTTTTGGCAGGTCTGAATGTTGGGGAAAATTACAAATAATAATGTTGGGTCTTTTGTCGTCATATTGAATGTGATCTATGTAGAGAGAGAAAGAGAGAGTAAAGTGGAAATCTGCCACACAGGCAGGGGGAAGTTGGGAGGGGGCTATGCTAGGGTTCTTGGTGATGGAAAATGTTCACTGCTGAAGGGATGGGTGTTTGATCATTTTATGACTGACCAAGACTTAAACTGAAAGGCTTTGTGACTGTTCTCATGGTGATTCAATAAATAAAACTTAAAAAAAAATTGCCTTGGGTATATTGTCGCATTCACTATTCATCACTATCAGAGAAGAATCAAGCACCATTAAATCCAATCCACTTCCCGAAGGGAAGACTGTCAATGAATTTCTTAACATCTTTACCCTTCCATAACCCACTTCTAGCTGGACTTCTAGTTATGGACAATTCCCTACAGGCACATTTTGGAGCTGAGGGAACTCAAAAATCTTCTAAAATGTCATAATCTCAATCCTGTCCAAGTAAGGATGAAGAGATTGTTCTGTGGAGATATTACCTTTAGACCTAAAAATTTGCGAGCTAAAGATACGAGCCAGGAGCATCTCAAATTTCCAAGGAACAATGACAAAATAGACAGGATGACCATCCCTGTTCCAAAGGAGAGCAGGGTTGGCAAAGTCTGCAGCAGTGTTTCTCAAAGCCACTAGATGTCTATCTTCCCCAGGCCTAGTGACTGTTCTACAAATATTCTAAAAAAAGTTCCGTAGTGGGATTTGAATAAAAATAAGCTTGACTTTAAACTTACCTAAAACTTGTAGTAGTTTAAATTAGCTTCGTAATTTAAATATCAATTTCATGTAATAAGATTGTTGTTACAGACCTAGAATATGTCATGGGCTATACAAGCTCATTGTTGCATTAGGAAGAATTCCTAATTTATTTTTTGTATATAAGCAAACAGCATATACCAAGAACTCAAAATATCATTTTGAGAATTTAGATTTTACGTATAATATAGAAGACCATTTAAAGCTTAAAATCTATTGTTTAAAACACTAAGAACAAGAATGGTTTTCTTGAGTTTGAATAAATGCTAGACACAAACAGTAAAGTCAAGATTATTACTATTTTTAACAAAAGTAATAGTCATGTGACAATTGTCTACTGAGCTCACCATTCATCCCTGTGGAAAAGCAAAGTCCCAGCAGAAAGCATTATTAACTTTGGGAAACCTCCAAGATGACGAAACAAAAAGACCCAAGACAACAATTATTCTTCAAGAGGACTTTTAAATTGTTTTTAGGCTTTACAATATTAGGAGTTCATCAAAATAACTTGAATGGGCAAGAGAATATTTTTGTTCTTTCATTTAAAAACTATCGTGTGGGTGTGCATTATCTCACATATTAATAACCCTATGTAATCTAAAAAAGAATATCAGGTACAATATTACAAAGCATGAATGGGTAAGAGCTATGTGGTTTTCCATGTATGAGATGTGATGTTTCTGATGATACTGCATTTCCACTAAACAACTTATAAGTTTGATCTCTTATAAGCTATGTTTGAGTGGCAAAAACATTTTCTTCTAGGTGTTATACAGCAAATAGTGATAAAACTTACTTTAATCTTTAGTAAGTTGTTCAGAATAATGATGAAAGATAAGAGTGTATGAAAATATGTTCTCCCAAATAGTTGAATAAAATATATGCTTATTCATCATACGACAAATGTAAAGGAATTACTTCTTATTGTCACTTTTCTTCACTTGTAATATCACTGTCACTGTCACTGTCCTCCCTTTGTTCATCAATTTGCTCTAGCGGGCCCAGTAACATCTCCATTGTGAGACTTGTTACTGTGTTTGGCATATCAAATACGTCACGGGTAGCTTGCCAGGCTTTGCCATGTGGGCGAGATACTCTCCATAGAGCTTGCAGGGCTCTCTGAGAGGGGCAGAGGAATCGAACCTGGGTCGGCTGACTGTCCTCGTGCAAGGCAAAACACCTTACCCGCTGTGCTATTGCTCCAACCGCTTATAATATAACCTTTAATAAAATATGCTCTCAATTCCCATTCCAATGCCAAGATGCAGATAACAACCAAATATTTTATAAAGCATATTTCCACTTGCTAAGCACAATATTATTCAAATTAATTTTTA